GCGAAGGGCGGCCTCGGGCCAGTGTCGCTGCGCCTCCGCGGGGAGCGGGTGGCGAAGGCTCCCAAGGCGCTGGGCGAGGCAGTAAGATCCAGGGTTCCATTGTCTACGGCGAGGACGCAGGGCAGCGATGCTGAAAGTTAGATGGGCTCTCAGTGGACAGCGTGGGGGGACAGCCTGTGTGACCCCGCGCAGGAGGGGCTCCCGCGTGGGTGCCGGGAACCCTGCCAGCAGGACTTCCAGCTGCCCGGGCCTGGGCGAGGCGCTGTACCTTTCGGACCTCATGCGTGTCCCCTGTTGCCAACACACATGCTCCCCTTACTTAGTATTGCCACCTGCCAAGTCCCATCAGTAAGAGCCCTTTCCCAGGCCGGGTGGTCCCTGAGCCCGTCCTGATGCCCGGAGACGCGGTGGATGCGCGGACAGGGCTGTGCCCGCAGAGGGTCTGACTTCCCGGCTGCCCCGTCTAATGGGTCGCATTTTACGTGGTTTGGTGTGACCCACAGATAAAGCACAAATCACAGACAAGCAAACTGCCCTGGGAAAGAGCTGTCCCCGCCAGGTAAGGAGTGGACACATGTGGTCCTGCAGCCGTTTCACTCAAGGACTGAGGAAGACTGGGATGGAGGAGGGAGCCTGACGGAGGGGACCTGAGTGCCTGCGGGGAGGAGGGCGCAGCCTCTGCGGGCGCACCTGGTCCTCTGATGACCTTGGGGACAGGGGTCAGGCGCCCGCCCCTCCGCGGCCTCTTCTCCGCTCGTCTCCAGTTACTGCTCTGCGGCCCTCGGAGGGGCCCTGGTGTCTCTGTGTCTGTGAGAAGGAAGCACCATGATGGAGACTCCCACGCGAGGAGTGAAGAGTGACGGTTAGGCCCCTGCCCCAAGGAGCCAGGCAAGAGGCGCTGTGAGCGGTTAAGAAATGTTATCACCTTCTCTCGGAGACCAGGGTGCGGTGTGAGCGGCAGGGGAGGGGGAGCGGATATTTATGTCTCTTCTAAAGGTCCCCCAGAGCAGCGGGTGGGACCAGGCGCAGGTGGGGGCAGGTGGGCAGGTGGGGGCGGTCACTGGAAACTGGGTGAGGCGGCTTACTGGGAGCCCACCGCCCTCAATCCTGAAACCTACAATGAGAATAACAGGAAAATCCCGGGAGGGGCAAGAATGTGCCTAACAGTGATGATGTAAAGGACTAGACTCCAGTCCTGCAAATCAGCCAATCAGAGGTTTTGAAGACTTTGAATGGAAAAGCTGAGCAAGCTCTGCCTGGTTTGGCTCTGTGGATAGAACAGTGGTTCTCAACCTTCCTAACGCCGCGACCCTTTAACACAGTTCCTCATGTTGTGGTGACCCCCAACCATAAAATTATTTTCGTTGCTACTTCATAACTGTAATTTTGCTACTGTTATGAATCGTAATGTAAATTTCTGATATGCAGGATGTATTTTCATTGTTACAAATGGAACATAATTTAATTAAAATGGAACATAATTAAAGCATAGTGATTAACCCCCAAAACAATATGTAATTATATACGTGTGTTCCGATGGTCTTAGGCGACCCCTGTGAAAGGGTCCTTCGACCCCCAAAGGGGTCGCGACCCACAGGTTGAGAACCGCTGGGATAGAGCATTGGCCTGTGGACTCTAGTTCTGGTCCAGGGCATATGCCTGGGTTGTGGGCTTGATCCCCAGTGGGAGGCATGCTGGAGCCAGCCAGTCAATGGTTCTCTCTCATCATTGATGTTTCTATCCCTCTCTCCCTCTCCCTTCCTCCCTGAAATCAATATAAATAATTTTTTAGTTAAAAAAGAAGAAAAGAAAGAAAAGCGGAGCAGGATTTTGCCCTCAGAGGGCTTTCACTGGGCACTAAGGAAAACGTGGAGCTCCCTCACTCGTGCTGACTCAGCCTAGTGCTTGTGTAAAACCTCATTGTCAAGAACAGTGGGCTGTCAACATCCCCAAGTTCTCTGCCAGCTTCCCCACCTCCCCCCCCACACACACACACACCCCGATGTGGCTGGGAAGGTAGGGCTGTTCCATCAGGGACTCAGCTTTTGAAAGTTTCACCCACTTCAAGTCAAACATATTCAACAGAAAACACAGCCTGTATCAGATATGCTTTTGACTGTAAACAATATTTTCATTTATTATTACTCCTTTTTTTTGCAGGTTTTCTTTTGTACTTTCCGTCGATTCATCTTTTCCTTTTTGTAGGCCGTTAAAATTCTCTAGGCCGAGGAATAAACCCTAAAGCTGGATGGATGATCTGGTCTTTCTGAAAAAAAAAAAAATGGCTGTCATTCTGAACAGCAGTTAGCAATTTTTCCCCTTCACTGGAAAGAAATAGTACACGATTTTGATTTTACAAAAAAATAACAAGATAAAATTTCTTCCAAAAATTAAGTCTTTCCAGTCCATATCATTTCATCATACCAGGGGATTTTTTGACCAAATGCTGTTTGATGAAACCAGACAACAGAATTCCATTTGCATTGTAAGGCGTAAATTTAAATCTTATTCTTCTAAATAGAGTATTCTTAGCCAGCCGCAGAAGGTAAAGAAGACCCTGCTGCTTCAGAGAGCACTGTGTCAGCGGAGCGAGCCGCAGCGGCCGGGCTGTGTGAGTGAATCGCAAACACTTGTTTCCTGTTTTTGAACAGCCTCCATAGTGATTGGGAAGTGGTGGTGTGAGATGGAGCCTTGTCTTGAGGGAGAAGAGTGTAAGACGCTCCCTGACAATTCCGGATGGATGTGCGCTACAGGCAATAAGATTAAGACCACAAGAGTAAGTTCATTATCTCAAATGTCTCGTGCATGTGACCAACTGTACTGTTTTCCTCTGTGCTGTACAAGTGTCATCCAGAGAAGCTTAAACAGGGGAGCAGGGGAGCCTTTTCCCGACAGAAACCATTCTGACCGGTGTCCAGCCATCAGCGAGAAGCTAGAGATTGAACTGAACTTTTCTACTGAGTGTTTCGGCTTCTGGCTCATGAATTAAGTTAGGTTGCAGTGAGGCAATTATTTGGACAATTCGTCCAACACCTATGGTGCTCAGATAATGAAATGAGGATGTTTAATTTGTCCACATAGTTTGTTGAAAAGGTCTGCATTTAAGTAGAGATTCTTTAAAGGAATTCTATGATAATTTTATAGAGAAAGGAAAGGTTTTGTGATGTGAATAATCATTCCTTGATTTCAGAAGTTATCTTCAAAATATGTAACAACCTGTACTGAGGGGCTTACCCAACGGGTAAGAATCGGTGTCACAGTGTGGGAGCAGGAGGAGGCGGCCCAGGTAGGCCAGCTGTTGACCTTCCATGTATTGGACCATAAGAAGACCTGGGAGTCGTGAAGGGGGTAAGGGGAGGGTGGGTACTCAAACATTTAAGGCAGTATCTATCTATTTACAGTACAAAGGTATGTTACTATTTTAACAACCAGTATGGTCACATGTATCTGTGCCACGTGGATATCAGCCCTGGTAGTTAGATGTTTGTGTATTTTAATGTATTGGATATTTTTTTAAAGGAAACTCCTCCAATTATAAATCCCAAAATGCTGACCTTGTAATCTTCCAAAAGGGTGACTCGAATTTTAAAAAACACCTCTGATTCCAATTCCTGTATTATGAGTCTTACCTGATCTTTCTTCTCAGCACTATCTTTTCAAAAAATAAAATTGGTTCTTGCAGCTTTGTGATGCAGAAAACAAAAGTAATTCTACAGGATACCATTTTAAACACTTATTTTTTCATATGTAAAATAAGTGGAGATGCTTTGCCTGTCAAATTTAGTTGCCTGTACTGATCACATTAGCTAGTAAATGGCCATACCTCCCTGGCTTGCAGCCAGGAGAGATTTCTGAACCATCTTGGCTTTTTAACATACATTTTTGAGCACCCAGAAAGCTCAGCCTGGATTCTTGGATTGCATGTCAGTGAAACACCTACCCAAGAAACTTACAGAAAGAAACCTGGTTCATGCAAATTATCCATCATAACCATTTTAATTACCTGGTGGAGAGTGGCTTTCAGGGTTGCCTTTGGTGACATTTTGCCTGAAAATGATTTTACCAAATAATTTGAAGATGTCCTTAGATTTACAGTGTTGGTGAACCTATGACACGCGTGTCAGAGGTGGCATGCGAACTCATTTTTTTGGTTGATTTTTTTTTGTTAAATGGCATTTACATATATAAAATAAATATCAAAAATATAAATCTTTGTTTTACTATGGTTGTAAAGATCAAAAAATTTCTATATGTGACATGGCACCAGAGTTAAGTTAGGGTTTTTCAAAATGCTAACATGCTGAGCTCAAAAGGTTCGCCATCACTGCCTTAGAAGTTAGTTTTAAGCTACTCTGCATATGGCCGGTGTAATTCCAGAATTATGACTGGAATCCGATCACCATTATTTTTTAAATGTTGCTGATATACAGGGGTGGGGAAAAGGAGGTTTATAGTTGTGAGTACACAAAACACAGAGTTTATTCTTGTATTATTATTTATTAATTATTGTGTTCATTACTTTTATTACAACTGTAGACCTACTTTTGCCCACCCTGTGTTTTCTGAAATCTCTAGTCCCTATCCCGAATGATAACAGGTGGCCCTTTACTGAAGATAAGCCCTGCTCTCATGATGCCTCCAGACTTGTAACTCAGTAACGAGCAATAATGCAAGTCATTTCAGGATTTAAATACGGGAAATTCCAAGAGTGCCAAGTAGGAGAGTCTTTGGAGGCTAGAACATAAACAACAAACAAAACACAGAACTTGTTAATGCCACCTTCCTGTGACCATGGGCTTTCCCTCCTTTTGTGGAGTATGTTGGAAAAGCGCCAGGCCTGTTGTAAATACATCCTAGACATTCCGGGCATCAGGGTAGTAGGATGCAGAATCCTCACGGTAATCATGGAGGCTGGAGCGCACTGTGCCTGCTACCACCCCGGGTGGGCGCAGTGCAACCCAGGCAGCTAAGTGTACGAGAGAAACAACTGCCCTTGCCCTGGGTCTGAAGCAGAACCGCGGTATGAATCCATTTCAGTGAGGAAATGAAACACTTCTCTTCAGCCCTGTGAGTGGCACGCCAGTCAGCTGAGAATTCTCAGGTCTGTCTGGAGACAAGGAAAAAGAAGACACTAGAAAAAGGCTGCATTTCTTTTTCATTGATTTCAAAGAGAAGGGGAGAGGGAGAGAGAGACAGATCAGTGATGAGTGAACCATTGATTGTCTGCCTCCCACACGCCCCCCCTACCCCCACTGGGGATCGAGCCCACAACCTGGGCATGTGCCCTGTCCAGGAATTGAACTGTGACCTCCGGGTTCATAGGGTCGATGCTCAACCACTAAGCCACGCCAGCCAGGCAAGGCTGCACTTTTTAAACACTGAGAGGACTCAGACATTCCTACTGACTTACAATTTCTCTCCCTTCCTTATGAAGAAATTCATAATGAAAAAAACACTTTTAAACACAAAGGCACCATTTAAGCCCAGATGATGCATACAGGAGCTCTTGATTCTGTATAAATGACATGCCAACAAGAGTCCTCAGTTCATCTGCTCTGGAAATAGGTTTTGTACCAATTTTTCTGATGGGGATTGTTCCCTATTAGAGAATGATATGTCTACAGACTTCAACTATGGCCTCTAGCTAGCAATCTAACTTTTGAAAGAGTTAAATTCACAGATGTCCTTTAATATGAATCACATGTTTTACTTTCTGCTCTTAACTAAGAGGTGATCTTTATTATATAAATTATTCAAGTTCTTACTAAAGTGGAAGGGAAAATAAAGAAAAATCACCATTTTTGTTCTTATATGTAAGACTGATTCAAAGAGGGTGGTGCTCTTACAGGAAAAAAAAAAATGAAGAAACATACCCAGGTTGTTAATGACAACTGAGAGTTTCCTTTATATGTAATTTTTAAAAGTAAATCCAATGTAAAGATATTTGCAAAAAAGGATTGCTGGTACCTCATTGCTTTTTCCTATATAGTTTTGTGTTTGTTTGTTTGTTTGTTTGTTTGTCAAAGTCTTCCTATTAGAGGGCTTACTTCCCAAATAAACATCTAAGCCAAAAATCTGAGCAGTCTTTGAAATGCAGATGGATGCTTCAGAGTGCAATCTAATTTATATTTTTATGATGTTTCTTTTTAAAAGGGTAGAGAGTAGAAAGTCATTGTTCCATTTAAACCCCTAGGCCCCTGATTGAGAATAGCCAGGATAACAGGCCACAGCCTGAAGGAAAACCTTGGGGAGATGAGATCAGGGTGACAATGTGATGCAGA